CCCAATGTATTCTTCACAAGCATGCATGGCACAAAAACTACTGCACAGCAATATATGCAACACTGAATGTACTTGTAAAGTAATATGGCTTCATTAACTGCACAGAATGGAAGAACTAGATGGACTAACCCTAACCCTTATAACTAAATAAATGGAACAGAATCTATCTACCACTATCAGTCATATTTAGTACAAACAACATGTTATTTGTGGCCATATTGATGTTATTTTTAAAGTTTTTATGAATGTCAATGACACATGTTCATGTTCCCAACTCACAGTGGTCCTACGCTTCAAATATATTGACGGTATCAATCAATCAATCAATCAATTTTTATTTGTATAGCGTCAACTCATAACAAGTGTTATCTCGAGACACTTTACAAAAAGCAGGTAAAATACCTTACTCTTTGTCTGTTAACATTACAAAAGAGCAGGTAAAAAGACCTTACTCATTGTTATGTTACAAAAAGCAGGTAAAAGACCTTACTTATTGCTATATTACAAAGATCCGATCTATCCATCATGAGCACTGTTCTGGCAGGCCGTCAACCAACGATCTCGAGGAGCCTAAGAGAGCTCAAGAGCTCCCAGGAAAGTAGGTGGTTAGTGACTATAGCAGCATAACTAAGTCTATCCTTAAAAATACAGACTGTGTCTGCCTCCCGGACCCCGGGTGGAAGACGATTCCAGAGGAGAGGAGATAACTGAAGGCTTTACCTCCCATAGTACATGAAGAGACTGTAGGTACCACTAGTAGGCCTGCATTCTGGGACCGTAATGTTCTCGAGGGGCAGTATGGCACTAGTAGCTCCTTAAGATAAGATGGTGCCTGGCCATTTAGAGCTTTGTAAGTGAGAAGAAGGATCTTGAATTCTATTCTAGACTGTATAGGGAGCCAGTGCAGAGAAGCCAACACAGGAGTAATGTGGTCCCTTTTCCTAGTTCTGGTCAGTACACGAGCTGCAGCGTTCTGGACTAGTTGAAGAGTCTTTAGAGACTTACCAGAGCACCCTGACAAAAGAGAATTACAATAATCCAATCTGGAGGTAACAAATGCATGAACTAGTTTTTCGGCATCATTTTGCGACAGGATATTCCTGATCTTGGATATATTACGAAGGTGAAAATAGGCTGTTCTTGAAATTTGCCTGATGTGAGAGCTAAAGGACATATCTTGATCAAATAGAACTCCTAGATTCCTAACAGTGGTGCTAGATGCCAGGCTGATGTCATTAAGGACAGTCAAATCATTAGAAAAAGTCTCTCTGAGGTTTTTAGGGCCTAGCACAATAACTTCAGTCTTGTCTGAGTTAAGTAGCAAAAAATTTCTGGTCATCCAGGTCCTAATGTCCTTAAGGCACGTTTCTAGCTTACATAACTGACTGGTGCCATCGGGCTTCATTGATACATAAAGCTGAGTATCATCTGCATAACAATGAAACTATATGGAGTGTTTCCTCATAATATTTCCCAGAGGAAGCATATGTAATGTAAAGAGAATTGGTCCAAGCAATGAACCTTGTGGCACTCCATGGCTAACTTTGGCATGCATAGAGGACTTATCATTAACATGTACAAACTGAGATCGGTCTGATAAGTAGGATTCAAACCAACTTAAAGCAGTCCCTGTAATTCCAAGTAAATGTTCTCGTCTGTAGCGTAGGATCTGATGGTCATTGGTGTCAAAAGCAGCACTAAGATCTAATCAGACGAGCACAGAGAGAAGTCCTCTGTCTGAAGCTAGAAGTAGATCGTTCGTAACTTTAACTAGTGCAGTCTCAGTACTATGGTGTAAACTGTTAAATAAACTGTTGTCATGGAGAAAGTCACACAGCTGATTAGCTACCACTTTCTCCAGGATCTTTGAGATAAAAGGAAGGTTGGATATATAGTTATATAGTTAGCTAGAGTTCCTGAATCTAGAGTAGACTTTTTAAGTAGAGGTTTGATTACCGCTACTTTAAATGACTGTGGTACATAGCCTGCCAGTAAAGGCATATTGATCATATCTAATATAGAGTTGCTAACTAAGGGAAAGACTTCCTTAAACAGCTTGGTTGGGATTGGGTCTAAAAGACAGGTTGACGTTTTTGACGCAGAAATAATTTAATTTAGCTCTGAAAGGTCGATTGGAGAAAAACAGTCTAAACTAATATCTGGTCCTGGAACTGTTTCTGCCGTATCAGACGTATCTGCACCAGGTAAGGGCAGGAGGTTACACATTTTATCTCTGATGTCTAGAATTTTGTTGATGAAAAAGCTAAGGAAATCATTACTGCTGAGGGTTAAAGGAATACAAGGCTCAATGGAGCTATGACTCTCTGTCAGGCTGGATACAGTGCTGAAAAGGTATCTAGGATTGCTTTTGTTTTCCTCGATTAGAGAGGAGTAGTAGGCAGCTCGAGCGTGACGTAGAGCCTTGACTATCCTGCCAGAATAAACGAGATTCTACCGTTTTGGTCGAGCGCCATATTCTTTAAAAATTTTGCAACGATTGTCTCAGAGTACAGGTTTCTGAGTTGAACCATGGCGCTATTCTCTGCCGTTTGATAACCTTCTGTTTTAGGGGAGCAATCGAATCAAGAGCAACTCTCAGCGAATCCACTGCACTATCAACAAACTGATCTAGCTGAGAGGGACTAAAGCTATCATAAGAGTTTCCAACTGGGTTGAAACATAGTACTGAATCAACAGCAGCTGAAATAGCTTCCTTAAATCTAGCTACAGCACTATCAGATAAACTTCTAGAAAGCACATTTTTATTAAGCAGAAATAATTCTGGTAGGACAAAGCCAAAAGTAATAAGGAAATGGTCTGATAGAAGAGGATTTTCTAGGAAAACTGTAAGGTTTTGGATGGTGCAAGCCTCTGTTCTAGGAACATTTAAAAGGCAAAATTTGGTAAGAAATTCAAAATAAAAAGTAATTATTCAGTGTCCATTTACACGATGTAAATAAAGGTTGCTGAGAAATATGTGTCACTCTTTTTTCTTTTCTTTGTTTTGTTTTTTTACTGTTGGACCAGCATGATGATTATGATAGGAAACTAAAACTGAACTTGATTAAGTTCAGGAAAGAGATCATGGCTTGGGGTATCTACTATAGTAACTATACGTTGTCACTTAACTGAAGTCCTAAAGCTTTTTACAAGCTATTTGACTGAATGTGAGGTCAACCTCCCAAAGAAGTCAACACTTAACCTCCTGGATTAATGCCAAAGCTTAGTTTGACCGTTTTTTAAATTTATTTTCTATTTATCAATTTTGGGCTTTCTATGCCCTACTATGGCATTCGAGAGACAGGAAAGTCAACAGATTTGGAAATCGAAAAGCCGGGCCGTCCGTACAGGGGCGTGCAAACCACTAGGCCACAGGCCCTTGTGTGACCTGTCTGATGCCTACAACAGTAACCACAAGCGGTCTTTCTGACCTTTCATATCACCTGACCAAGACAAAACAAAAAACCAGAGGACATCATCAAACAGCATTTTGTTTTTTTATGTATGCAGAAACATAACAGTAAAATGACAAATAAATGCAATCTTAAATCTTGAATGTTCCAGGTATGCTACTAGAAACGTACTTGAATCTTTTTTCAGATTTTAATATTTTGGGAAAGCACATGTATCCAAATTGCAAATTAAACTGTAACACATAAAACCTTTATCAAATAGTTAAGAAAAAACCCTTGGTTTTAGGGGCTGCTCTGGATATTGACTCAGACTTGTATGGATGTATATCCAGCTCTCTCATACACCATCAGAATGTGAGTCATTCTGTGTATGTGTTGTCAGAAAGAATGTTGGATCATGATTATGATTATCTATGACATACCTGGAGCTGGTTGCATCTGGAATACTTATACCATCTGACTGCTATCAGAAGAAAAAAACGAAAAACAGATGAATAAATCTGTACCATGACAGGTCTAATGGTTTGGCAGCTGTATTAATCAATGCACGTCTGTATGATTTGGCAGATTTATAATATTCACAATGAGGCGGGGTTTGTCTTTGTCTGTCTACTGAACCGAAGATGAAATGTAAAAAGAAAAATAAATTGATTTAATTTGAGAGCACATTCAGACTTTATAATCAAGGATGGGTTTTCTGATGAAATGTCTTGTGTGATTTCTGTGTAATCATGATGTTGACCAAACAGCAATCAGGATGAGCACAACCCAAGTAAATACATCTTTATATATATATTTACATCTGTCTATATCTAAAGTCTGCCTATATTTTTATATGCTAGTCTTTTATATCGGTGTAAAGGAGTGGAATAAACATGCTTATGATAGATTATGACATTAAAAATACTCTAAGAGGGGCGCGTTGGTGGCGCAATGGTTAGGGCGCGCGTCCCATGTGTTGAGGCTCTCGTCTCGAGCGGTAGGCCCGGATTCACTTCCACCCGTGGCCCCTTTCTGCATGTAATTCCCCACTCTCTCCCTGGTTTCCGACTCTATCCACTGTCCTATCTCTGCATTAAAGGCACAAAAGCCCAAAACATAAGTCTTTAAAAAATACTCTAAGAAATACCTAAAGCTTTGATCAATAGCTCCGAAAACTGTATGCCTTTTGTTCCAGTAAATAATTTACTCTTTGAGAACTCGTAAATCTTAATTAATGCGGGCCTTCTTTTGAATACGCTTAAGTTAAAAAAAAACTGTATTGCAAGTTGAGCTCAGGCAAACTTTCATTAAACTAGATGGCTGCTGTTCCCTCATTTCTGAGCATTTCTGTGGACTTTGTTGCAAGCTGTTTTGTGGAAAAAGTAATTTACTCACAGGGCAACCACTTGAATCTCCATCCACTCCAACCCCACCCCACACTCGCTCCACTCCTCTGACTGGAAAATATATAATACACCCTGGCGTTATGCATGGGCCAACACAAAGTCTGACATTTTAATTGAATTTATAGAGAAAAGGCCTTGACAGCCAGATTCCATCGCACGCTGTAGTGACTCCAAGTTAAGTTTAAGAACTAAAACTCACCTCCGGCTGAGTCATTCAGTCATAATCTCAGGAGCTGGAGGGTGTCATCACTTTCTGCAAAGTGAAAAAGAGAGTCATTACTCCATACCTAACCCCTTTAGCTGTCTATATCTTTCACAAAGAGATTAGACAATATGAGGGCATGATAAATGAGGCTTTAATTGAATTGGGGCTTTAATAAGAAGCATATGTACACAATCACATTGGCTCCTATCAACCCCATATTTGATATCATTCAGTTGTGAGGACGTGCCGTTATAACTCTGGTAACTGTGTGGACCCAGCGGAGCAAAGAGATAAATGCACTTTATGACTGAATGGGTTGTGAAATTTAAATAGAAATGAGGGTGATAACTCTGCCATATTAAACAAATTGTTTTTTAGCAAAGTCATTAATTGTTAACAAATCTTTTTATATAAAGGCAAACTCTTAAAAAGAAATGAAATAAAAACTGTAATATACTTTCATCTGTTTTTTGCCAGCATTACCTAACAGTATAGGAGTAACATCAATGGATAACTAAAGACATGCCTTTCAATGTTTGTAATATTTGACGTTATCTATGGCACTATGATGTGTAGATAAAATACATTATTAGTGACTTGTATTCAAAGATGTAGCTACTTCAGGTGTCATACGAATATGTGGGTTAAAATGTTACCATCTATAAATTAAACTATGACATACATTTTGTACCAATGTCAAATTGAGCTCGGCACTAGGAGCAGTTGAAGCTGGAGACCAATGAAATATGGTCATGATTATGTGCTTTGCTTTGTAGTAATTCTTGTCTATTCAGGTGTGTGTGTGTGTGTGTGTGTGTGTGTGTGTGTGTGTTTCAGAGCTCAGACTTGGCCTGTGATTAGACTCCTCTGCCTCCTCCAGCACTCAGCTGTGAATTTTCCTCCAGTCCCTCATTTTACTTTCCGACTTATCTAGATGTTTCCTCTGATCTCTGCCCACAATGACGGCAAGTTCAATAACTGACGTTCTGAAAAGTAAGGCAGGTGTGCTTTGCCAGTAAGAGAGCTATTTTTTATTCATCATGAAAATATGTAAGTATGTTTAAACCAAAACATTTCTGCTCTTTACAGAATTGTGAAGTTTGTTTCTTAATGTAAAATGAATTAGGTGTGATTTTATTTCAAGGTCACATAGAATGTGAGGTAACTTTTATTCAGTAGGCACAGTTGTTCAGCAAAATGATTATTAAAAAAAGATTATAAAAAAAGAAACTAAACGCTGGAATCATCCTGTTTTAATTTCTTCTAAATTGAAGTGTTGATTGCAAAAAAAAGGCTTATTTGTTAGAGAAAGAAAAGGAAAAGACGAGCAAGATCGTAGTTAAGTTTATCAATTATTAGAACAATGGTTAAGAGGTAAAACATTGTGTTTGAAGCAAAGAGATGAGATATGATAAGGACAAATACAACCAAGTGTCATCTGCATACAAGGAAACAAATTACGCCATTATATGGATTCAATAGGAACTTATTGCTCCTTTGATGTGTTTTTAGCTGGTTATGAAACAGACTGAAATGGATATTGTTACCTCTTTATGGTATTTTTAGTCAAAATTGTCCCTACCTCTTTTAGTGTAGGACTAAAATCACAGCAATTCTCTCTTGCTGACACTGACACTGATTATGTGGAAAAAAGGGGTTAAGGAGAACCTAAAGCAAGACTTCAGAGGAGTAAGTGGTGAGAAGTTATCAACAACTTTTAGATGTCCAGTATGCCTTTGAGCCCAATGTGATTGAACACAAAAAAATCTACTTAGATTATCCAGCTGTAAATTAACAACAAAACATTTAAGGATATTAGGTTGATTATTTTGCAATAATATTGTCTGGTGTTATTTATGGCATTTTGGTCAGGAGTGAAACATTTTAGAGAAAGAACCCTTAATATGATTATATTTTAGGGCTGTCAGCTTTAACTAGTTAATCACACTTACTCAAGGTCATTAATGCATTATTTTTAGAATTGTGATTAATCTCTTGCTCTTTTGTCCCTTAAGGCGCACTACAGAAAAGCCTCCAGAGAGTCTTCCTGTTGTCACTGTGATGAAAAAGAACGACCCTGCTGCATCACTGAATGACTGAATTCACTTAAAGAACTTGTAGACAGCTCAGTTAAAGAGTCAAAAGAAGTATCCACCTCATGACATCTAACATTTCACTTTTTTTTACTGTTCCTTTGAGCCATTTTCCTTTAGTTTTTGATCTGTAACAAGTTTATTTGCCCTTGTTCGAATAAATGCTGCTACCTTCCATCTACCAGAAGGTCCTTACTTTTGTTTCAAAATAAAAGTAGGGTTAATTTCAAACAGCAAGTAAAGTACTCTCAAGACAGTACAAACATTTAAAGAAAAGGTCTCATCAATTTTTTATTCACAAATGCATGTAATGGAATTGCAAACATCTAATTGAAATGCAATTAATCAAAGTTAACTAAAATGTAATCTCTCAACAGCTCTATTATATTTACTCATAACAATATTCTTAAATAACTCCAATCTAAACGTCAACCTGTCCGGACTACTCAGACCACTGTTAAACAAAAACTTCTTCTTCAACAGCTTCTGCCCTGCCTTCTCTAGTGCAAGATAAAATACAAACCTGTATATCACTGATGATCAAAGGAAAGAAAATACAAGACAGGGGAAAAAAAGAAGGAAGAAGTCAGCAAATTTGTTGATGTGTGGGGTTTAGTTTTGCAAGTATCAATAAAAACAATAATAATATCACAGCATATGTTCCAGGCATTTACACAGAGCAGATGGCCTTAATCTGGGGAAATAACATCTAAAAGTTGAACTGTGGGCGAGAATGTTCCTTAGGAAGCTGCATGAAATGTCTATGGTGCCCTTTGACTGGCATTTGGACATGCTGCTCTACTGATTATCCACGGTAGCCAGGACTGTATTCCCTGCTAATAGGCAAAACTGACATGCTGTGCCTGTTCATTAGTAGGGACTATAATCAAAGGTACACAGGTCCTCATTAAACAGTTGCCAATCACGTTTCCAGGATCAAGTCAGAGACAACCTCAGGAGGCTTGACTGATTACGAAAGGATGGTGAAATTAGGCCAGAGACAGCCTGCTTTTTGTGTTACCATGCTGGATGAGAGAGGCAAGTGTATATAGGGTTTGATTCTGAACCACTGAAGAAGCAGCTTTTCCATCCCTCTAAAGAAATTGAAAGCTATCTCCCCTGGATTAAAGAGACCGTGGCAAATTTAAAAAAATGGATGACTTAGAATATAATAATAAGAGAGGCACAGTCTACCCAGCTGTGCTACTGTCTATGCCATATATTTTCATTATGATAATTACATTTAGTTTAATTAATTGCGGCGGGGACTGAGCTGCTACAGTCATGCAGACCTGAGCATATGTTTGAGAAATTCTTTTTCAAACACCAATGGCTCTGTTTGTTGTTTAGATTCCTCGGTCGGCAGGGAGTGTGATTATGACGCAGTCTTTAGGGGTAATCCATGGACACACAAAGGGTGAGGCTGGCTGGTGGGTGGCTGAAACAGTCGTGGTCGGGCGCAGCACAAACAAGCACAGGCAGGTGGTGAAATCAAAGAACCAGAGAGGGATGCTTAATAGGACACCCAAAGGCTGGCAGTGATGCAATAGAGATGGAGAGGGTTCTGATCAAAGAGGAGGATGAGCTGAGAGCAGTCATCAGTGGGATCTATTCCCAAAGAACTGTCATAGTGTTTTGCACTGTATCTTGTATGGCGTATTATTGGTGAAAATGCAGGCCAATTACTATTCAGACCAATATGCACAGTAAATTGGCATTTTAACAACCACCTTTAGGCCAACTTCACCTTGTGTTTTCTGTCTGTTGCCATCATAAAATGGATTTCCCTGTATTGTATGTTTGTCTCAACTTATGGTGTTGGAAAATGGCGCCAATGCTAAAGTGCAAAGAAAACCCTGCAGTTCTCCAAAATCCCCCCAAAACTTAAAAATAATAATAATGATACATCCTCATTGGGCCCCATGTTATAATATAATTTTACAGCAAAAATAAACATGTTAACAGCCTGCTTCAAATACGGAAGCATGTTGAATTCACCACAGAAAATACAAACCTGGACCCCTTATCTTGCAATCACAAGATCAGGATCTCAATAATGAGATTTTTCCTTGTAATTATGAGATACAGATCTCATAATTACAAGATCTTTATGAGATCATGATCGTAATTTGAAATGCAATCAAGGCACAGGAAGTAGGGTTGCAGAAGATGCTGCACCACTCTCTAAAATCAGGAACACCCTATTGTGAATTTCAAATGCATCCATGCCAGCTCAAGATCTCATGATGCATTGAAGTCCGAAGACTCCGAGGCACTGACACTGGAGTATTTACCGAGGATAATAGTGACGAGAAGGTATTTAAAGTTACATGTTGGTCAACCACCTCTCTTTCAAAGCAGATAAGGAAAAGCTTGGGTCGAATCTGCTACACAAGCCTCTTTGATAAATAATCAGACACAAGAAGTCCGTCACCACCAAAAATAGAATCTCATTCTGTTGGAAACACAAAGTTGAATTAAGTAATTACACCCATTAATAAATTGGCCAGGGGTATAGTCTGTTGAGCTTTGATAACTTCCTCTTTGTCAAACCCTCGCTTTCTCTATCATAACCCTCTCCTCAAAATATGGGCACTAATGGCTCCAGAAAACTCAAGGATTTAAACACACAGTCAGAAAAGCAATGGATGACATCACTGTGGCTACATCCATCATTTATAAAGTCTAAGGTTCTTTTTCCTGAGCAGCATAATTCTCCCTGACCAAAGTCCACTGCCTGCTTACCACTAACAATAACACTCTGAACCTGTCTTGAGAGTAACACACCGTGTTCACTTTATTCACTTTCTTTGATTTTTTTTTGTGGTTGAATAATTATTTTACCTTGAAAAGAGTTCATTAAAATAACTGACAGTGAAGAATTACTATGCACAGTAGAACCGACTGAAACCATGTTCTGATAAGCAACTCTGTGGTTGAGGATTAATCTCAGAC